TATTTTACAATTTAGATGCAGTTCTTGCGGCATAGACTCTAAAAGAGTCATAACTACTTCACTTAAGAGTTCGATGTCAATAACTTCATTCCAATCATTTGATTGAATATTATCAGATTCTAACGATCTTTTTTTTGAATTTTTAAGAGACCTTTGACGGCAATTATTGCATGTTTTAAACTTTTTGGGATTGCCCTTGGCATTGTAACCCATGAATTCAAGACACAACTTTGAAGTTTTACAACCTTCGCAGTATTCCATATTTGTAAAGCGAAGAAATTTTAATGCAAAAATAGCAACGATAATAAAAAAAAATATGATATTTATTTTATTGATTTATTTTATTAATAATATTGATATCGATAGAATTTGATATTACGTAGTGATTAATTATATCAGTGATACCATTATAAGCTCAGAGTCACAATACAATTGTTAGTTCGGGGTCACAAGTATATTTCCAGCCACAGCCACTCATGTGCCCGAAATTTTTTGTTGGTCACGCTGGGGAAGATCACGGTGATAACAAATCTCAGACCAAGAGGATATATATAGGGAACTACAAAAAATTATCAGAAATTTCTTCACTAAATACTATCAATGCACTCTTAAAACACACTAACCTCTGGAGGACTACAAACAAACAAAAAGAACACCTGTTCTTGATCTTGACAAATACATATATACTAGCCTTGGCAGATACTATTGCAAGATGGATTAAGGAGATCCTAAAGGAAGTATCCTCAGACTTGAAGACAAAAGACACAAAATCATTAGCGGCTTTTTACATACAAAATTCAGGTGCAGACTTCGTTACAATACTTGCAATAAGTAACTAGTTGAGTCATAGTACTTACCAACGATTTTACTAACAGGGCGTGATGATTATACTTTAGAAAAATCAAATTGCTTAGGGAATTATAGCAATAGCAAGTAGTAATACTCCACACTAGTCACATGATCTGCAATTTATTTACGAAATGAAGTTTATTTATCTAAATATATGAACATAGTGAAATATATTTATAAATGAACTAGCAAAGTAAGTAAATTAAAGATCATTATTCTCTTTCTCCCCTTTCAAATCTAAAAAAAAAAAAAAATCAAAATTATAAGTCATATAATCTTTAATTTAAAAAAAAAAAACGAGCAAGTAACAATAGTAAATGGCCTAAGGAACAGAGTTAGGTAGAAAAGAGTATTTATGTAATACAGAATCACATGCAATAATGTAATGATCACTACATGATTAGGCACAAACTAATAAAAAACAAAACCAAGTCATATGATCTTTATTTATTTATTTCACTAGTCCATTTATAAATGCATTTCACTATGTTCATACATTTAGATAATTTATATAGATTAATATAAATCGATTTTTTTAGACCAAATCATAGGAAATCGATATTTTTACAATTTTTTATACAGTGTAACTACACCACTTTAGGCAAAATTAAAAGTATAATTTGGGCCTGGTAATATAAATTTGGCCAATCTAAACTATCAGCAAATTTTGGAAATGTAGACAAAAATTTCTGTTAACTTTCTGAAAAACATGAACTTAGATACTGATCACATTATTTAATGTTATACCAAATTTTAAATCTTTATTAGTTAATCATAGGCATATCGATATAAATCGATATTTTTGGCTATATCGATATCGATAGATATTTTTGCCAAATCAAATAATCACATGAAATGTAAAATACCCGCACTGCATTTTACAGTAGGGAAAGTCTACAAACACACACCGTTTACGTGATTTTGCACACACCAGATCACGTGTCGTATGCAAAACTTACGAATTTGATCGACATGCAGATCCTGTAAAAATAAACTTTGAGCGAAGATATCTCGACAACTACCTGCTTGAATCTAATAAAACCTTTTCGATTTGAATTCTATAGATTCATAGAATTCAAATAAAAAAAAATTCATCGCATTTAGCCATGTAGTTGTTGAGATATCTTTACTCAAAATTAAAGAAAAATCAAAATGACTATCAAAATAGAAGCTGCGTCAAATTTCTCTCTGACTTTGAGCGAAGATATCTTGATAACCATCTGGCCAAATTCGATGAAACTTTTTTTGTTTGAATCCTATGAATTCATAGAATTTGATTGAAAAAATATTCATCGAATTTAGTCAAGTGGTTGTCGAGATATCTTCACTCAAAGAAAAAATGTGTATTAAAATAAAATCTACGCCAAATTTTCTTTCTAACTTTAAGTGAAGATATCTCAACATCCACTTGATTAAATGCAATGGAATTTTTTTTATTTAAATTTTATGAATGCATAGAATTGAAAGATAAAAAGTTTTATCGAATTTGGACATACTATTATTGAGATATCTTCGCTCAAAGTTAATAAGAAAATTTCTATTTTGATAGATGTTTTATTTTTTCCTAATTTTGAGTAAAGATATCTCGATAGCCACTTGACTAAATTTGATAAAAATTTTTTCAATCAAATTCTATGAATTCATAGGATTCAAACAAAAAAAGTTTTATCAAATTTGGCCAGATGGTTATCAAGATATCTTCGCTCAAAGTTAGATAGAAATTTGATGCAGCTTTTATTTTGATAGTCATTTTGATTTTTCTTTAATTTTGAGCGAAGATATCTCGACAACTACATGGCTAAATGCGATGAATTTTTTTTATTTGAATTCTATGAATCCATAGAATTCAAATTGAAAAGATTTTATTAGATTCAAGCAGGTAGTTGTCGAGATATCTTCGCTCAAAGTTTATTTTTACTGGGATCTGCATATCGATCAAAATCAAGTAGATTAGCAGTGGCGAATGAAGATGGCAATCATGTGAAGATTAGCAAAAAATATTTAATCGTGATTGGCTTTTCCAAAACTTAAGTTATTCTATAATTTCAGTAGTTCAGGCATTTTTTTTTTTCGATCTTAAGGTGAAGTCATTGGTTTAGGTATTTTTTATCAGTGTGGTATATGTATTATATTTGGATTATACGTAACAATTCAAAAATTTTTTACTAATCCTAATAAAGTATCCGTATTACTATATTAGAGTAAATATAGTATATTTTAATGAAAAGAGTCTACTGAAAGGGGTCTAACTAATAATGATTACAATACATAAGTAATACTCAAATTGGATTAAAGTTTTACAAATAATCAAGTATCTATATTCAAATTTTATATACTTTTAATTTGTTGTCTCGTAAACTTTTTTTTTAAGAAAAAAAAAACATATATACTTTAAGCGACCAGTATAAGATCTGAGTTTTTGTATCATTAAATAATTTATTTTGGGATTGCATTAAAGCACCCTTGCAGAATTAAATAAATCATTAGAAATTAAGCCAGTAGTATATAGTTTATACATCATTAAAAAAAGGTGCTTATCCACTTGTTACCATAACAAATATCTAAATTTTGAAAAAATCTTAT